AGGAAGTAGACTGCAACATTCGTGTTCCTCTGAAAAGTATCCAATGTACCCAACCATTGGAAATAGTATGTTTTTGCTATCTACTTTTTGAAAAATGTAAGGGTGAGGTAAGTAGCATCGTGGCCATCACTGATCGTTACACCAGATATCCTCAGGAATAAGTAATCAGATAACCAAAACCCCATGAAAAGTGTCAAAAATGTCAAAATAATCAACAGGATTACTCAAACTTAAAGAGACATAGTAGGGCAGATTAGATCAATATGCCACTTGGTGATACAAGCACCAAATTTCGTACAGAGGTTCCTCAAAACCTATTCTTTCAGAAAAGGCAGCTATCCAGGCGAAAAAAAAAAAACAAAATCAAAATACATTTGTCAATATTTGAGTGATGTTGATATCATTATCAAAATGTATGTATTCTGACGAGGACAACTTTGTAGTTTCAATATAATTCCAAAATGGTCGCCATTTTTCAAGATGGCGTATTTTCGGCCCAGAAAGTCAAGGAAATGACACATTTGAGTTCTGTAAATGTTAAAATATATGTATTCTAACCAAGAGAACTTGAAAGTATAAATATCATTCCAAAATGGTCACAATTTTCAAAAATGGCCAATAAGTAAAAGATGAATACCAATAGTTTAAGTATGTTATTGCTCCCAACCGCTATCTAATAAACATTAGTAAATTAATTATTAGCAAAATTATAGTAAGATACAGCCGCCTCTGTCTTCCTTTTGAGCGAACGATTCATCACATTAATATCTTCTTCGAGAGGCAGCTGGATCAGTTGTCAACGTCAAACATTCCATAAACAAACATAAGCCATCGATCATCCCAATCCTACGATGGCTCCCATATGTCATATTTTGAATTAAAACTTACATGAAAATTGGGTGATAATTCCCGTATTTAAAAACTTTTATTTTCACCTCGGTGAAAATATATTTCCACATGGTTTTAATTCAACGAATCTTTAATAAAAGTCAATATGACCAGCCTTCATCTTGTAAAGAAAATGATTATCACCTGGGTGAAAATTTAGTGATGGCTCACATACGTCATATTTTGAATTAAAACTTACATGAAAATTGGGTGATAATTCCTGTATTTTTTCAATAAAAACTTTTACTGGGCGAAAATAAATTTCCATAAAAGTCAATGATTATCACCTGGTGAAAATTTAGTGATAACTCTTTCTTTTTGAATTAAAATCTTTAATTTTCACCTGGACTGGACTTGTTATGGTGAAAACAAAGATCACATGATGCATTTCTACCAACAAGTGCATGCGTCATTCAGCTTGTAAAATGGTTTGTCTTCCAAGGTCAATGGGGCTAGGCAGCGGTGTGCAAAATATTTAAAAAAATAGGGATTTTTTATACCTTAGCAAATAAGCTCACCATCGATTTTTGAGTTTTCAAATCCATGTGTCTCCAAAATGGAAGAGGTTAAAATGACGGCTCCACTTGACACTCATATATGTCATATATGGAAAAGACATACATAGTAATAGAAAGTGTTATTCTTAGTTTGATGTATACTTAAAGGAATTATACGAATTTCGTACATTTCTACTAATTCTGAAGATTATTTATATATCATATTCAAGACCCATATCATATCGAGCAATGTAGCGTTATTTGCCTTATTTTGACGGACGGTTGATCACCCAGACTTTGTATGGAATAAGGAATAACACTTTGGTAAGATTTATAGTAAACTTAATTCAAATAGTTAAATCAATACAATCAACTATCTATACATAAAACTCAAATTCAACTGCGCGATTCTATGTTCTACAATATAGTAATATCTCCAACCCATCAACGGCTGATCTATATTTGGTCCTGTATCTTGGATTTCCCCGAATATTAGCTTGATTCCAAGAAATTACAAGACACACCTTGCCTCATTGACCATTGGTCTATCAGAGTACTGACCATACCATACTTATTGAGAGGTTCTATTTTAAACCAGGTGGTACAGACTAATGTATTGAAATATCGTAAGTAAATATCTAATATGACCAATTTACAATGTATGCCTAGTATTACAGCTATTGACATATTGTGGATGCAAGACTGGCTACCGAAGAAGATGTGTATGCTATCGCCTCAACCTCAAACGCAAACAGTTATGCAGTTCCTGTAGTTGTGAGGATTGAGAAATTAGGAAACAAGATTTGTCCATCTAGTGCATCAAGAGTATCTTTATAATAGAATGCAGAATTGGACATTTGATACCCATATCCATATAATTCTGTCAATTTGGGAAAATCAAACCCTCCCTTCCCGAGAAAATTATTCGATTGACGGCCATTTAAAAGTGAAAATTTTTGTTACTATTGAGTTCTACCGATTTGAATACTTTTATTTTAATATATACACCCGAATGCTTCGTTTCCTTGATATTCTTGGCCAAAAATAGCATGTTTCTTCGTTAACTTGACGGCCATCCTGAAAAATTGCGAATGATATTTGAACTATTAAGATCCCCTTGTCAGAATACTTGCATTTTGATATTAACATCACTCAAATATTTCCGTGATATTCTAAGCGGATACAGCTTGTTTCACCTTAAACTTGGTGGCTATCTTGTAAACGGTGGCCATTTTGGAATGTTATTGAAAGTATTAAGTTCTCCTGATCAGGATACATACATTTGATATCAACATCGCTCCCTGAGAAAGAAAGAAACAAACAAACAACTTTATTTTACAAGGATTTACAGTTACGGATCCTTTCTACCAGCTGGTCCTTGACCAAACCTTTTGGCATTGATCATTCCCGGATTATCCGTACCCATTTATAGCTGGGTCGACTAGAATTATGAGTGAAGATGACTTATTTAAGGTCATCGGACTATCACACGCCGATCGCGAATTGAACCCACAGCCGTCATTTGCTTGGTAATGTCATGTTAAGAACCAACGCTCTAACCGACTGTAAAAAAGACTGTTTCACCTTAAATTTGGCGGCCATCTTGAAAATTGGTGACCATTTGTTTTTTCACCTGGATAGAGACCTTTTCTGAAAGAAAACGAACAAAAGTTGGTGCTTGTATCTCCAAATGAAAGATTATTTCGGTTATGTGCTGCACTAACAGGGCAATGATCTGTCAAACTCTTTGAAATACATGTAGTGGCCATTTTGGATCATGCAAATTAGACATATTTCTACTATTGGGATTTTTTCGAATTTAAAATTTGTCATTTAGGGGACTACACAGAAAAGGCTTGAATTGCAATTTGTTTAGTGACTTTCCCAGCCTGCAGGTCCATGAGGAAACGATGATAGTTGAATATTCGAAGACAAAAACAACCTTGTTCATAGTAAACAAAAGCCAATAAGTAAATAACATAGTGATCTCTCTCAAATGTTTTTGGAACTTCGTGTACACAAATATGTAAACAGTATGAGCTCATTTTTGCAAAGGCGATTTATTACAGGTTTCGTGTGATCATTCCACAAAAATATCGTCAACAATTTCATGTAGTCTAGATCTTGCGATGTCAGAAAGTTGTATTGTGGAAAAGCCAAGCCTCTCGACAAGACTTCTTCAGTTTCCTAACTTTGGCAGCCTTTTTTGATTGAATGAAGAGCACGTTACATGTTAACACTATAGCGACTAGCAGTTGCGTAATGTTGCGAATAACATTCATTTTGAATCTGAAATGTTTTACTCATTTGACATACATGATACATTTCCGTTTACATACTAATAGTGCAACCAGATCATTCCAATTAACCCGAAGATAAAAGGGTTGCAGGGCCTCTTTAATTTCTCAATACAAGATTCCGGCTTCAAAATTCAAAAGTTACAAATTCTAGAAAATTGCCAGGATGATATGCCTACAAAGATGGCTTAAATACGTGCTGAAACGTAGCACGTACATATTTCAGTATTACAGTATCCTTCATAGTTTACATTGACAACAATCCTTTGACTTGATCTTTTATCCTTTATCTTTACCATTAAATTTTGGTGCTACAAAATACCGTTGGTTCAATATAGTTTTAAGAATTAATACAGATGCTGATTGTTGGTACCTTTAAGGCATCTTAAAAACTCCAGTTTGAAAGAGGGTTCGTTGAGAATATTGCCATCGCTTACTGGTATGAATTTACCAGTTTCATCAGCAGAAAATATTGACTGGAAAATATGTGATTGGACCAGTTTTCTGGAGAAAAACGAAAAACCACCACCATATATCCAACATTTTACATACAGCTTTCAAACCTTACCATAAGAGATGCCATTGGAGTTCGAAGAGGAATTAACTATTCAACATTTATGTACATATAGTAATCTCTCTCCTATTGGGCATGGCTTTTATTTATAATCCTAGATCCATACAAGAGTAACGAAGACTAACAAATGAAAGCTATTCAGTCTTCTTCTTGGGACCGGGAGCGGAGCCAAAAGGCGGGCGTAAAACTGGCTGCGCCACTGCTTGGAACTCCGTGTACACATGCAGTTAAACACTATCAGCCAATTTTTGCCAAGATATCCCTGCATTGTGATTATTTCACAGCAATACCGTCAACAATTTTATGTAGCCTAGATCCTAAGTCTTGTGAGGTCAGAAATTTTTATTGGGAAAATTAAAGCCTTCCGATATCCTAAACTAAACTTTTGACACAGATTGGATGCAGTTGGGTAAAGTTACGAATAAGAAAAGCGGACATAAGATTCGAATGCAATGTATATGATTATTCCTCAAAACAGCTCTATGTAGCCCAGATCTTAAGTTTTGTGTGATGGAAAAATTGTATTGGGGAAAGGTCAAGCCCTCCGACGTCCCAAACTATATACGTCTTCAGTTTTTCAACTGTATTTTTATCAGTAGTAAGAGTCATTGTAAGTTAATTATATTATTTACATTTATTTTTTTATTATTATTATTTTTGTATATTATTTATGACTTACGAAATCATTTAAATATCGATGCACATTTCGTAATACCTTTAGACGAAGTATTCAATAATATCAAGATGAATCTGATTTTAGTGACAATTTGCGCAATTCTTCTGACACAAGGTAAGATTTTATGATACTTAATACTATTATTGGTGTTTACATTAAACCCTGATGTTATTGTGAGAATTGGGTTTTCAACACGTTATCTCTTTTATTAATCCCGTGGCATATACCCATTCGTCCCCCCGTTTAATATACATTCTCTAAATTGTTATCATTGGTTATAATTTTGATGCATCTGTATCAGATCTTTTTTGTCCGGTTTGCACGGATTCGCGACGTTATTGTGGACAAATGAAATGAGTTTTGAGTCTCAATCAAATGTGTTAATGAAAACCAACACGGTCATGCATGGTGCCATGAGGGAAATTTGGTTAGGACAGTGGCACAGCCTACGCTTTTTAATTTTCCAAATGCCGAGGGATCTTTAACGTGCACTGCCTGTATGTCTAACACATATGGTTGTCATAGTGGCGGCGACGGTTCTCTGGCACAGGAAAATAGGTGTTCGTACCCCCAATAGTTCGGCACTTCCGGTGGATTAAATTCCAAATATCTGAACTATCCAAATTATCCGAATGGGGTCAGAAAAAAAACACAAAATCGAGACTTAATTTCCGGAAAAGGTTGTGGATAAATTTGAAAATGGCAACGAATGGTTATTTGGCGTGTCGGTACATCGGTCAAAATGTTTTGTGAACATAATAGAGACTGCATTTTTTATCTGATTTAATGAAATTTAGTCTTCGAATTTTTCGATGAAAATTTTTTATAGTTAACTAACTGGACTTAAAAGAAAACGCGACAATATTTGTTTGTGAACACAATGGGACTACAGTTTTCATGTGATTTAAATTAGATTTGGTGTGTTCAGTTATATTGATAAGATCTTGGACTGATATGAATTTGTGATTTTTTGATGAGCGGTATTTGAGTTTATTGCCCTTGATTCATGTTTACGTCGTTTATTGTAGATATTAAGTTCTTTGACTTCATTGTCAAGAGCAAAAACTCAAAATCCGTTCACAAAATTTGAGTCAAAGGCAATAAAGGTTTGTGTTCACATAGGCGCTTTCATGAGCGGATTTTCTCCACGTATTAGTTATTGCCATTGACTTAAAACGTGTCAAAATTAGTGCATGGGCACAATCAAAGACAAATGTATATTTCTATAGACATTTGTCTTTGAATCAGTGTATTAGACAAATCGGTAGAGCATGGATTAATGGCGCAAAATGACCTCCAAAGATGTGATCATTGGAAGCGATTAGGTCTTGAATAAGGAGTTTATTACGTTTGCAATGAACATTTTCTGGCTATTCAATAGAAACTTGACAGATTCATCATTATTCCGCTTTTTTGTAAAAAGTTTTCATTAACAAAAACGTCGTAAATTATTCGATATTATTAGTCGGAACCTTCAGAATACATGGGAGACGATTATTTTACTTTTTAACAGCTTCCAAACAGCATAACAGACTTAATCTTAAAATCCTTACGCAATGTTTTAAAATGTGTTTGGCGTTTAAAAAGTAACGGCTGGATGTTTTTAGTTAAAACCTTTAGATACGTTAAAGAGCACATTTCTCTAGATTTATTTGTAAAGTTTTTACAAATTGGAGCAAAAAAATGTTGCCACATATAAAAGAGCGGAATTTCCCTTTAACAAAGCTGCTATTGGGCGTATGTCTATCTTCCCGGCAAGTTATATTTTTAATTTGAATATCTGTTGTATTATTATTGGGAGTATGTACTATAAATTCAAATTCTTTGTAAGGCTCATTTTTATTAAATATGAATGTCAGCTCGAGATAGTTTAAAGGGACAGTTGGGACATTTTGTTGTCTAATCATAGACTCAGACACGGGCATTTTGTTTAGCTTTGTCAATCAGGGATTGTGATCAGCTCACCGTCGAAATTTGAGCCTTCAAATACGTATGGCTAGAATTAACTGCGTTTGAAAGTTACAAAAAACGAGTCGTCTTTTCTTGAGACACTGCCATATATATTCAAGACATCTATAGAAATAGGAAAAGAAATTCATAGTTTGAGATAGTTTTGAAGGAATTGTGCGATCTTCGTACATTATCTTCAGTATTCAAGTTATCTATATTCAAGACTCAAATCAATCAAATGGCGCATCTGTCCCTTTAAATCGTGACATTTGCTCAAAATCTGTGTTAAAATGCAACGATCCAATTTATATCTTCACAACTTTTCATTTTTCATCATGAATCTCCGACAGTTGTATCCCGTTAAGTCAACCTGTCCTTAGTTTTCTCCCGTAGCCGAAGACTCATAAAAGAAGATTCTCTTCGAAGTTTATCTCCAGGAAGTAACTTGTACAGCAAACTTCAATGTATATGTGCCATTATTGATTACCTTATATCAATATTGATTATACTTTCAGTAAATGCCGGTGATATATCTGGATCAGTCACATGTGATAATATCCTAAAGTTCTTTGTTGATGGTCAGCTTGAAGCAAGTTCAAACGATTGGCAAGTCGCTTCTCCAGTTTCTTTTTCGGATACAGCACATGTTCTGGCATTCGATTGTCTGGATGAAGGTGTGATCGCAGGAATTCGAGGTTCATTTAGTAATGGGGTAGTTACTGATTCGTCATGGAGATGTTCAACTTCAGCCGATGAAGGCTGGAAAGAAATAGGGTAGGATATCTATTTTCTAAGTGAATATTATACGAATTGTCAGTTTGCTGTAATCTTTGTTTGTCGATATGGATGCTGTTTGTAAGACATAGAAATAGGCATAGCTAAGGATGCACAAAAATACTCTATTTCTGACATGTATTAACTCGCATGCTCATACGGACAGCGTTATCAAGAGAAATAAATACTATAACATGAGCCTTTTTTGTGTATTGAACAATAACTAAACACTTCTAAAAATGGGTACGGTTTATGATCGGCCAGTAAGATTACTGCGTTATATAATTACCAAAAAGCTGTAATGATTTATCTACTGAGTTAATTGTTGTCGGGATAGAATAGGGTATGAAGCTGGGTTTCAAGAAGGCAAATGAGAATGAGTTTATTTACTTGGCATCCGTTTCGGTGCTAATATTGTTAACGTTTATTATCTAATTACTACATGTCAGTGTGTCAATAATCACATCTCAGCATTGGTATTAACCTTAAATTAATTTTAATCTGTTAGATTTGATGATAGTAACTGGCAGGATGCCACTATACAGACCCACACCAACTGGGGAGCAAATCCAACATCTATACCTAGTGAAGCTAAATGGATTTGGACTGCTGGCGATACTGCTGATACACATGTTTTCTGCAGACTAAGGTTACACCCGGGTATGTCAAGATTTATAATCTATATTGAAATAACTGTGGATTACTATATCTCATCAGACAAACCGTCTTTTTTTATAGATTTTTGTAGTGAACCCAATCAATAACCGATGGTTTCTAGCTTTGCTCAGATACGAGTACGAGTACGAGGTTTTACATGTATATTAATTATAAGAATCTTGGTATGAAAATGTCAATAAGTTTGGCATTAAATCGTAACCACTCAACCACGCCAAGAAGATTTTAGAAAATGCTCAAAATGTCAACATAATAATTAAATGAATTATAGATTTCAATAGAAATGTCGCGAAATTTCTATTTATTTTATTTCTGTAGTAAATGCGACAACCAACAGTTACTTTCTTTTTCGAGATTTTGTTGTTACACTTATTACTAAAACTCTTTAGTTTCGGTGCCGTATAAGAAAAATATTAACCTTACCCATTTCCTTATTATTGGCGAGGCGAGCCGAGGCTTGGTGTTTGTGATTTAATACACACTTTTCCAGTCATTTTCCAGATAATTATTTTTTTATTTTTTGTGTTATAGCAACCTGTGTTCCTGGCAACTTGAACACATCTCATGTTATGGATCCAAATGACTGCAAACGATTTTGGCAATGTGTACATGGAACCTACGTATCGATGCCTTGTGCACCTGGAACTGGTTTCCATGAGGGTCAACAAAGGTGTGAACATTTGTATCTGTTACCAAACTGCAATTAATAAAATGGAACTCGGTGTTAATTGTAACGTGAAGTTCTCAATAAAGTCTTTTAAAATGAAATAAGACTGTTCAATAGATATTTTCCTATTTATTGTATTTCCGTCCACAGAGAAAGAAAAAAGCCAGTCCAAATTCCAATACGTATCCTGTATTACAGGAAGCCAACGACGGAGAGAACAAAGCACTGCATTCCTTTCGATATATTATATTAATATTCAAAATTCAACCCTGTTATATTGATCATATCATGAGACTAAACCAAGAACGTGTATTAGATTGAACCTCTGCGTGTTAATGGTAATCCTTTGCTAATGGTTGGAGCAGTGTTTCCACCCACCGAAAATTGCTACACTTCTGATAGTACAGAGGCTCTAGGTTCATCAGAAACCAGTAGATGTAGATTAATTCATATCGAGTGGATGTTTTTAAAAAGAATTTGAACATTCAGCTATATTATTGCCGTTAGCAGTTACCAAAGTAATCTATCGTTCAATATTCACAACAAACAAATGACTTGTTGTACCTGTAGCCATTTTAAATCGTTGGCTTTCGGTAATTCACAGGAGGCCCAAAACCAATACCGTTTTTCTCTGAATTAAAGCTCACGATAAAGTCTCTGGCATTAATAAACAAAGCCATAAAACACCACTGGTAGCATGGAGAGACTTACAAATTGTATGTAAAAGGAACATTTCTGTTACTCTAATGCTTGACAAGGGATACAAAAGAAAGCCGACCAGTGCCCGTGCCATTGTTCCTTTTTTATACGTCCGCATGAAAATGTGGACGTATATTGCCGTCGCCCCTGTCCGCCCTTCCGTCCGTCCATCCACATTTCTTGTATGCACGATAGCGGCTACAGCTTTAATCTGATCTTGATGAAACTTGGTATACATGTATATATTGATGAGATCTCGGTCATGTTCGAAATTGGTACTAATCGGATGAACTGTTTTAGAGTTGTTGCCCTTGGCTTAGTAAAAACGCGTTAAATTGGCTTGTATGCATGATAAAGGCTGCAATTTTTATCTAATCTTGATGAAACTTAGAATGCTTGTAGATATTGATAACACCTCAGTCTAAATTGGTACTAATCGGATGGACGATTTCAGAGTTATTACACTTGACTTAGTAAAAATGCGCTATGGTATGCACCATATAAAGGCTACAATTTTGATCCCAACTTGATGAAACTTACTATGTATGTATATATTGATGAGATTCGGTCAAGTTCGAAATTGGTAGTAATTGGATGAATGATTTCAGGGTTATAGCCCTTGACTTAGTCAAATTTGGCATGTAGGCATGATATAAACTACAGGTTTTATCCGATCATGATGAAACTTGGTATGCATGTATATATTGATAAGATCTCGGTCAAGTTTGAATTTGGTCATAATCGGATCAATTGTTTTGTTTTGTTTTATTACCCTTAAATTAGTAAAAACGCTTAAAGTCATGATACAGGGTGCAGTTGTTATCTGATCTCAATGAAACTTGGTATGCATGTATATATTGATGAGATCTCAAAATCAAAAATGGTAATAATTGGATGAATGGTTTTGGAGTCATGGCCCTTGAATTAATTCAATGCGTCTATTATAATTTCAATGGAATTCTTAAGATGACTTCCTCAAGCTTTGAAAGAAATGCTTTAAAAATTACACTCAAATGGAAAATATACTTGGCTATCACTTATATACGATGCACAAAATCAGTACTCTCAAGCAAATTAAAATCTATGTTTAGTCTGATTTATTAAGAAATTTAATGCCCATTTAGTCAAAATAACTAAACAGGGGGCCTATTCTACTATTAATACAATGATAGATTTTTTGAACATATTTTAATTTGACTTAATAAGATACAAAAAATCCTAGGCATAGAATTGCAATGGCAAAAGAAGTAAGAAAACTAAATACTCCATTTGAAATGAAATTAAAGATACGCAAAAATTTCATTTCATTGAAAAGTAAAAATTCAGATATGTTGAAATTTAGTGAAATCGTTTTACATTCAATCCACTCAATGATAAAAATTTTCCCACAGATTAAAAGATAATTGTAATGTTTAGATACTGAAATTAATAAACAGAAATGGAGTGAAATCAAATTTCTTGCCTGGATAATTTCGAAAATTCGACGCTTTTTCTCAGAAAATCAATTTTTTGTTTTTATGGAAAGGAAAGACATTTTCTGCATCCATTTTACCAAAATTTATATTGTTAACTCTCAAGGAAATTCGTTTGTGAAAGGTAGTGACATCGGTGAGGATATGACTTCAAACTACAATATTTCAAAATGTCAAATAAACAATATTTGAAAACATCTCTGAAAAGCTCTTTTCAATTCCCAATTCAGCGATGTAAAATATGTTTTTTTGTGAATTTACTGGATTTGAGTTGTTGAGGACGACAAGGTAACAATTTTGCTATTCTAGATAAGATTGCGTCACGCTACACGAACCTCTGAACATTAGATAGCAGAATGTCGGAGATGCTGATTTGACGAAGTGTTTATCAATACTATCTGCTTATACTAGATATAGGCCTATCTGCTTTGTTGTTTCGAATCGTATTATGGCTACAGCATGGGTTATAAATACTCCTGCCCCTTTCTTACTTACACCTGGTAAAACCGGAATTGATCTGGGAAGACTTGATTCGAATGTTCTACAATTACATTGAAGCCATCGAAGGGTTCTAATATTCCGACTCTCGAAAAAAGGCGTTGGTTTTTACACTGCATATATGCCGAATCTCAACGGGTATTGTACACTATACGTGTAGACAACGAAATCGCTGCAGAGTCATGTCAATTCATGACTTCTTCTTACAATAAATTACACTACACTAAAAGAGTTGCTGCAAGAGTTGCTTTCCGTAAACGTAATCCACTACCTGGAGAAGATGTTGATGATTACACTCTTGCCGTACGTCAACTTTCCTTGCGAGGGTGCAATTTTTAAAATGAAGATGAAACCATTCGAGACCAATTTATCGAAAAGAACAGTTCGTGTCATTGTTGAAAAACAAATGGAGAAATCTAACCTTACACTAGATAAAACATTGACCAGTCAAGGCTGGATGTTCGCGTACTTAGTGGCGTTTCTACAGGAGGTGGCCCGGCGTTTTGCTTCAGTAGCGGGCTATATTTGTCTACATCAGGATATTACATGAACTGCGGGACAATGAACCAGTGGACTACCGAAAAATTACCGAATGGATTGTCACTCATTTCATGAACTTTTCGTGTTTATCACGCCTCTGATATGCAAACATAGCACTGTGATGCGTCCTGTCATATCAGAGGCGGAGCGTGTATGGTTCGCTTAAAGTGATTTTTTTAATAATAATCCCTTACCATGATTGATGGGGTTCTACACACGCTTAAATTTTTGAATGGTTTTTAAGATAATGGGTTTGTAAACAAAGATGATTAGACCGGAATCTGAAATATTCTTATATGATGATCGCTTAGGCATACAACAAATATGATGTCACACGACGTTATAAAGATAGTGTTGCATCTCCCTCTTTAAAAAAAATATCATTTTATAAGATTAAAGACTTAAATTACTAATAGAGTTTTACATTCATAATAGTATACATTTATTTTAACTTAGTGCTATAATAATTACCCAGTCGCTCAGCCGTTTAGTGTCTATACTTCTAAAAAAGAAACTTTAGCACAGTCTTTGCTCGAATTATTTGAAGAAAGTTATAGTCTTATTGCTTGCTTAATACAATTAAAACATTTAGCTAATCATAAAGAATATTAAACATAGTTTTTTTTTTATATCAAAACACACACTATAGAATTAATTTTGTTGGCGCTTTGATTGTCCTACCCGACCAAGTGGCTAATGGTTTTGATTCAGTTAATTGACCTGGAGATGGAATTAATGTTATTTTGGAAGAAACTTTTTGACCAGACTTTGGGCGTTACGGACTAGTTATGCTCGGACGTGAGGGACTGCTTACTTGCGAATTCTCCAATGCAATATCCATGTCACTGAATTCATTATTCAATGAACTGTAGTCAAGTTGTAGAGTTTCACTTGCACACTCGGTTGAAGGTCTTAGGTGCTTAGGGTTTCTTTTGTATTATTGATTTCTAGATTTCAAACATATGATATTGGGTATACGGAATGTTCAATAAGAGTTGCTGGCTCCAAAACTTTCGTTCCAGGCAACGGTGCCATTCTAACTAGATCATCACTTTTCAAAGGCGGCAACTCTTTCACACCATTCTTCGATACCGCTTTTGTTTCTGCTTTGCTTCATTGTAACGACGTTTAACTTCACGACGAGTTTGTTTCTCGGCACACGTCCCATCAAAAGCTGCGACGGAGAGATACGCCATATACGTTTAACCGTCTGTATGGCTCTCTCGGCCTTACCATTAGTACTTTGGCAGTTGGGGCTGAAAGTTACAAGTTCTATTTCGTAGTCGGTACAAAATGCCTTAAAGTCAACTGACGTAAATTGTGATCCATTATCTTAGCGCAAGAGTCTTGGTATCCCATGACATGACTGAACAGATTTCATAGCTCGGATGTTGCTGTGTTCTAGACTCAGTGCTAACTTCCTGGCCGGGAGGTATGCACGTTATAGCGCGTCAACTATAACAAAATCTTTCTGGGGAACGTATTTTACGTCTAGGTCATTGAAGTCTTAATGACAAGCGCTGTAACCTCTCTTAAATATTTTCTCTACCGGTTTATGGTCTTTATACACTATAATTGTTTTTTTTCCAGATATGTAATTTTGGAACATCATTAAGGCATGTACAATGAATAAGCTAAAAATTGAACACGTTTTCAAGAACACGGGAAATAACTCATACTCAATATTATTCAGTATCGCTCTAAAGAGTTCAAAAGAAGTGTATGACTGAAGGTTGAATATTGCATATTTCAAAATCAAAGCTGCTAATGGGCGTATATTACCTTGCCTGGCAAGCTATCTTTATATTTCCTATTGGGGTGGTTGTTAGGTTGAGATATAACACTGAAACATGTCTTTTAATGTGTAGTTGTGTTGGGTCGAACACATATAAAACAGATATGTGCCATTATTGATTTTATGTTATAACTGTCACATGTGATTATTTCGGAAAGTTCTTTGTTGATGGCCAGCTTAAAACATCTACAAACAATTGGCAAGTCAGTTTTCCACGTTTCTTTCCGGATACAGCTCATGTCCTGGCATCCGATTTCTGGATGTTGGTTCGGACGAGGAGTTGAAAAATGAAGAGTTACGAATTGTCAGTTTGCTGTAATCTTAAATATCTGACGCGGGTTCTGCCTGATACATATACGTTCTTTCTTTAGTCTTCAATTTTTCAGTAGAATTTTAAGTGAATGAATGCAACAGTATGCTGATTACAAATTGTTGTGGTTATGGACGGAATATACAAAACATGTTTCTTGGTAAAATAACATGTCATTGGTAATACGTACTGTTTATGATCGGCCAGTATAAGATTAATGCACCAAAAAGCTGTAATGATTTATCTACTGAGTTAATTGTTTTCGGGATAGAATAGGGTATGAAGCTGGGTTTCAAGAAGGCAAATGAGAATGAGTTTGTTTACTTGGCATCCGTTTCGGTGCTAATATTGTTAACGTTTATTATCTAATTACTACATGTCAGTGTGTCAATAATCACATCTCAGCATTGGTATTAACCTTTAATTAATTTTAATCTATTAGATTTGATGATAGTAACTGGCAGGATGCCACTATACAGACCCACACCAACTGGGGAGCAAATCCAACATCTATACCTAGTGAAGCTAAATGGATTTGGACTGCTGGTGATACAGCTGATACACATGTTTTCTGCAGACTAAGGTTACACCCAGGATTTATAATCTATATTGAAATAACTGTTGATTACTATATCTCATCATAGATTTTGTAATGAACTCAATCAATAACCGACGGTGTCTAGCTTTGCTCAGATACGAGTACTGTTGAAATTGTAACAACATGTGCAAATAAGCACTGCAGAGTATATACTAAAAAAAAGGTAGTTGATCTGATGATCTAAAGTATATTAATTATACAAATCTTGCTATGAAATAACCAATACGGCAACCAGAAGTTTAGAAAGTATTCAATATGTGAAATATCACAGAATTTAAAGTGATTTTAATTCTATAGTAAAAACGAAAACCAAATAAACTCTTTAGTTTCGAAACTGGTTTCCATGAGGGTCGACAAAGGTGCGAATATTTGTACCTGTTGCCAAACTGCAATTAATAAAATGGATCACGCTTCAAATTGTAATCTGAACAGAATAATTTAACGAATATAAATTGATTCAATCGACATCTTGCTATTTCTGAATAAACTGATTAGTTGACCTAAGGTTTTCATATTTCAATAATCCCGAAAGAAAGAAAATTATATTTTTATTACTCGTAATTCAAACAAAATGTGCTCACATTAACATGTATCGCATAGTCCCTTGGTGTCCAATTAGTATACATTTGCAATATTTGCTAGACGTTTTGATCATAGTTAATCTGATGAACACATTCCACCATTATGAAAATAAATGTGACCTTTCACGTCTATGGGCAATCTGCTATTGTAGACGGACTTAGCCTTAAGAATGACTAAACAACGGTGGGTGTAAAATTCCGAATTCCCGAACTGTCCGAATTGTCCGAATTGTGTCAGAAAAGACAAAAAAATCGGAAATAAAATTGCGCCAAAGGTCGTGCACAAATTCGGGAATCAAAACATTTTACATCAAAAAAAACGAATATTTTTAAAATCTTTCATTTGGTCATATCACAAGTTTTTTTTTGATTTTTTGTTTACACTTAATTTATAATAATGGCGTCTATGAATTGATATTTTTGATTTTTAATAAATATGATTGCTATTATTCAATGGGCACTTTTTGTTGTTTTTTGATCGAAGACGTCTTCCAATTATCTCCCTTGAGTGGGAGGTTTAAATCTAAATAGCTACCAAAAGTTTGAACTCTTGGTTCTTGCTGTTCCTCACAACCAGTCAACATTTTCCCCACCCTTGCCCCCCTACCATTCAGAAAATGTGTTGGTCGATATGGTGGCTGCAGAAGAAGATTGGAAAAACACCTCTACAGCTATGTGGCATTAAATGAATAGCTTGCCAGGAAAGATAACATACGCCCACTACCAGCTGTCAGAAATGATAACAAAATCTTTAGTGGCTTAATAATGAATTTTCAAATCATCTATAAGTCATAACTCTGAAACCGTACATCAGATTATTACTAATTCCGAACTTGACCGAAACCTCATCAATATATAGATGCATACCAAGTTTCATCAAGATCGGATGAGAAAACTGTAGTCTCTATCAAGCCTACAAGTCCACATTTCCATGTGGGCGTATAAAAAAGGTGAGTCTGATTGCATGGTTTATTTATTCTATACCTTGACTGCAATCTAAGCACTTAGCTACAGATACAAACTTCTATGATACAAGAAAGGTGTCAAATGTTGAAACACTGTGACAGAGGGGGAGGGGCAGAGGACATCTTACTCACTGCATGTTAGTCTGTTCCAATCATTCATATTGGCATCAAACTTTGTGGGAATGGGAAGACGCCTTCGATCACAAAAGTGTCTATTGAATAATAACGATTATATTTATTAAAAATCAAAAATATCAATTCATAGACGGCATTATAAATTGTGATTTGACCAAATGAAAGCTTTTAAAAATATTCGTTTTTTGATGTAAAATTTTTTGATTCCCGAATTTGTGCACGCCCCTTGGCGCAAATTTAGTTTCGATTCTTTTCTGACCCAATTCGGACAGTTCGGACGGTTCAGGAATTCGGAATTTCACACCCACCGACTAAGCAATATAAAACCATTTAATACCATAACGATGTCGAAAGTATCAAGCACTGGATGAACATAACATTGGGGTCATGAATCAATCAAATTATATCAATGATAACAAAATTGATATTTTTGGGAAAAATGGGATTGACCTCTGAAAAAATGTGACAACCGTCCATTACTACAAATAAACACAATAAAACCATTGTCTCCCGGATATATGACTTGCCACAATCAAATTGAATCATCACATCTAGAAATGTGATGTTAAGATTACTACTGAAAAAAACAAAAAGGACGATGACTGTGATTTTGGGTGAAGACGTGATATTACCCAATGCTTCTCTACAACGATGAAAAGATGGCACAAACCACAGTCTTTCCATGACACACGTGGATCTTTGACACATAACACGATAGTAATATACATTGGCACAAATTTCTAGCACATTTTGCTCCTGCTAAATTAGTTCTTTACTTCCTCGTCTTCTCGCCAAAGCCGCTAGATCACGTGATGTTGTCATGGATGCAGTCCGGGGTCTGAAATCTGAATCGTCACTCCCGGATTCGTCATCATCACTTTCGTTTATTGCTGTTATACTTGAGGAAGATCGCAAGAACACATGCACTATGGGTTCAGAATGGTCCCCCTTACAATCTGTTTCTAGAGATCCATTCATGTTAGAATCCGAATGTTTATGTAATGACTTGATAGTGTCTTGAATATTGAAAAATTGTCTTTTTAATAAAATATCGTGCTGCCTTAACATAATCTGAAATTAAATTTTTTACATTTACTACTAACGGAATCAATTTCAGACGTAAATTACTGTGAAGACTATTTACTATACCATTGATATATAACACTTACATTTATACCCAATATCAGAAAATGACCAATAGTCGACAAGATTAGAAACAGTCAGGAAACATGGGGGAATTAAATATTATTGATTTGGGTGTAAGCAAAAATTTTTTTTTTTTAAATTTCAATAGTCTTTATTGAAACAATATATTCTTACCAACTCCTGTTTGATCCACAGCATAGCTTGCGTCAGGTCTTCAATTCGATCATTCATTGTGTTGCCATTCATTTGAGCAATACTAACTTTCCGATACCTGGGAACCTTCATCGCGGGATTTGGTTGACAAGCTGATTCGTAACGTTTTGGTAGTTTAATTTGTCCAGGTAAACGTCCGTTTCTAATAGGTATAATACCATTATCTAACATCCCATCCTCGTCCATATTATATATCATACCATGTTACTGTGGACCTTGAAGTAGAAAAATAACATTAATCAATATTTTATTAGATTCATTGGTTATATTGTTACTCTTTCATCTACTTATATCTGAGTCTCAGGTCGGATTTGACTCGTCGTACAATAACTCGAGTAACACTCACTATAACGTGCCGCTAACAAACACTTGGTTCTATTGTAAAAGTAAGAATTTGGAGGAAACAGTAAAGTGATCTTAATGGACGCAAAAGCATATAAGAGTTGAAAGTTTTAGGTTTTAAAAGAAATTCAATCATTCTAATAAAAACGTCAAATCTAGTAGGCCTATGAAATAGTATACTGATACATGCATTTTATTCTTCCTGTATTTGATAATTCCCAACAAAATAAATAACTTACAAAGTAATAAAAAGAAATCAACTAGCGAGGCAGTTACAAAGTTTAGGGTGTAAACTTTAAATCCCTACTTACTATCATAATATGTTTCTCAGCAATCAAAGTCCAATCAAGTATATAATTTCATATTACCAGTATACTTATGTATAATAATACCTATCGATAAACGTCGTAATATGACACATCATTAATTTGAAACTATCAACATTAAAATAATGTAAATAAAAAAAATGCAACAACAATTGCTATTTTAGTTATATTATTGTTACTTCGGGCGTAGTATATTTCGTTTTGTTTGTTAAAATGTCTGTATGTTTTCAGTATTCACCACAAAAACTCTATCATTTTATCATTTTGCAATCATCCTTTTAGGAAGTAATGAAATAAAGAGTCTTGAAAAATATTTATTCTCATAGATCAAAGATCTCGAGTTTAGTTATCAAAATTATTAGAATTTATTTCCTGCGAAGTTCTGCAAGTAGCAAAATTTGGATCCATTCCTTATTACAAGAGATCAATATATCGAAACAAACTTGGCGCAATCCATTTTGTTTAACAAATACACAAGTATATTAAATGGACAGACTATGTTGCTGTGTACATGATCACAATTTAATAATATATCTAGGCCTACATACAGAAAAATACATATACACATGCAAGTGTTGCGAGTGGGCTACCCGACCCTACTCCTTTTCATGTTCTTATTTTTCTATCGAGGAGGAGGTAGGATTTATCCATGATTACTCTTATATATACCTACTGATAAATATGACCTTGATTGAATTTGGAGAGATAAAAAATAAAAGTCAACCCATTAGGTGATATTATCAGATAGCTGAGTTATTAAGTATGACAATACTGGGGAAAGGTCTGAATATAGCTTTTTTCGTAGCGATAAATTCACAAACATGTCTATCTTCAAGAACTCTGCGTATAGACAAATAGGAGAAGATGAAAATATCAAAACCATACATCCCACTCTTTCAATGCGATTCGATCTGTCAAAAGTCGAGACGTCAAAAAGGTTCTACTATTTATACGATTGCCACAACCGACCTCCAGATCTGACCGAATAAACAAGATTTTTCCACGCTGAAGACCACGATCTCAAGTTGATTTAAGCTTTCAATTTATGTAAATAATCTTCAGAACTACTAAAACTGTGCGAAAATTCCTTCAAATAGACCTTAAACACAAATATTTTGTTGATATAGTCTCTGACACCAAGACATCTTCCGTCGCAGCTGTGCGTAGAGGATGTGGGATAGGACGATTGAGTCAACTGTATACACATGACGTCATCAACAGATATTCAGAATGAAAAGTCTCTTAAAATGACAACTCGTTAAAATAACTTTCAAACATAGATAATTATCGATACACTTGGATTTGAAGACTCAAATTTCGACGGTAAGTGTAAACATTATTACTGATTGGTTTAGCCGAATAATTCACGTTTCTGGGCCCCTGGTATGATTTACTATCGGAAATGCTGTATCTGTCACTTTAATACAGTCTGGTAATCAATCGACATAATCTCCTGAACCTTTTTGTACACAACATCGTCACCTGACGATGACAATGTAAATTGTTAAAATGTTGTGTAAAATCAAACTGATGAGTATACTATACCAAACATTGCGTTCTGTTATTTAGTCTGTATGTACAGAATATGGTATTCAATCGTGTGAAATGTTACGGTTAAAATCTATGTTATTATTATACATTGAATACTATCACGTTTGTATAGTAAACTGGTATAATGCGGTGTTAAATGAACCATAAAAATATAATTGTAGCTATCTAAATATAATATTTAATTAATTGAATAGTATAATTCAGACCTAAATATATAAAATAATAGTGAACAAGTGATAAAAAATACTCATACTTTGCTGGGAACCAGACCTCATTCCTATTTGATCGACATCATGTTCTGTTGAATATTGACTTCTTACTTGTCAACAGAAGCTGCTTTCTTTTCAACTAAATCAGTGCATAACCAATCTGTATATATTAAAAGCCGATCAGGATTCTTGTTTATAAATTTTCATGACCCTGTGTTTCAGGCTTCATTATGACTAATAGGCCAAGTAAAAAATAGTTGATATTCATATTATCAGTCTACCCTTTCGATCATCAAATAAAGAAAAGAATATTAGTAAACACAAAATATTTGCATTTCATATTCGCATATTTTCATTAACCTAGTTCGAATGAGATATGATATTTCAAAAACTCCATATAACTAATGGACATTTGTGTTACAAGCAGTACGACCACAGCGTAATATTATCTTCAATCCAGTAGCCTGCTACAAAGATTTTCTAAGAATACAACTATTCAGATTAATTTCGACCCGCGTATCATAATATTTACAAATACTACCTTGTCCGAAAATCAAACTTTAATATATCCATCTATATCCCTCTAAACTCTAAATAATGTTCTTAAAGACAGTAGATAAATTCAAATTCGTCCGATCCACCACATTACAAAACGTTCAAATCGTGACATTGATCAACAACGATCAACTCGAAGGCAACATCTGGGAATCTTGACTCTCACCACTGCTAACAACTGGTTACTTAGCAACAGGGATGTTGTCGTCAATCAAGTTGTTCGCAAATGCTGGTAAGCAATATTTCAATTCTAGTGCTGCGCTATGTATCGGATGAAATCTAGTCAAACTTAAAGTAAATTTAGGAGTTTCGGATTAAATGAACCCCACGTATAAACAAGAAGCGATGATTTCACAAATTGTCATCGTGGGAATGTAACAGTTCTTCCGTGTAAACAGGTTTCAAAACATTACTTTGTGCATATGGTTAATTCAGGTGATTGATGATTTTCGTTGATGTCTGTAAATCATTGTTTAAAGGTAAAAAGCCTTCTCATTATGCTTTCCATCGGCCAATAGAATTTGCTATACTATGCATGATAACAGTTTTCTTAGAACAATGCGATTTGATACGAGTATGCATACAGATATGATAATTGTTCCGAAATATATATTCTTTTGATTCAATTAATAAATGAAATGGATGTTAAACTTAGTTAAACTTGTAATATCATGTTACTACACCTACATTGCCAAAACCGGTAGTCATGCCGTAATATAATAATCAATTTTCCTTTTTGGTATAAAGTTTCTGATTTTACTCTTTAGTTAATTAATACTGCAATACAGCAGACACTTTTCATTAATCTTATTACATTGCATCAAAACATCGCCAAATTGAATACAATAATACCAAGATATAAAGTGATAGGAAAAATAATATATGACATTACTATCCACGAAAATTGGCACATAAACCATATGATATCAATAATATTACATATAACTTACTTAAATATTCCTTTGTCGAATTAAACAGATCATAAAAAATATTATTCCATACTAGGCCAATACATGTATCACACACAAAGAAAACCACATTGCCAATGTCGATATAATTGCAATATGTTGCACTTTTGTTAAGAGGAAATAAAAAAGTTAAATTCTCCAGTTGGTAGAGTCGTGTTTGTCTCTATGAATGAACTGTTAGATATGAATAGATATTGAAAAACTCTGTTGAACATTTCATGCATGGTTTGAAGTGTTAAGACAAATTATGAAGATTATATACATAATCTCACCCATGATGTCACATTATAAAGGAAGGGTGAACCAAGTGGTCCCATATCGATCATAATCGTTCAAAGCAATAAAAAAAAGATTGAAGAAGGTTGAAAAATAACAGAAATTTTCTATAAACATGAAAAGCTTAAGGCTACCATTATATCAGATTTGCCTGCAGACAAAAAATATGACGTTAGATTTCAACTGATATGAAGAGGCTCACAAAATCATATTAATTTTTTTCTTTTTTTTTTAACCACGTTCAATTTGTCTTAGGTTGACTATTTTAATAAGTATTCAATAGAGCCCAAGGATTCAGTAGTTCAATGATATGCTGATCAAGTTATGCTGATATGCATCATATCATGTCATATATATATATCACCTCATTTCTTTCTGGACTATCAAACACGTTTAACTGAACAATTATTGAGCTCCTATAAGATTAAGATTAAGATAATTTGAATCAATTACAGCAACCCGTACTAAATGGACTACCTGAAAACTATAAAAGCATTTCAACCAAAGTATTCTGTAAACACCTCCCCTTTAACAGACATCAGGATTATCTGTAAAATTATTCAAATCAATTCTGAATTTTAGTAAACTCGCGTCAAAAAATATTGGTCTCAACGGTATATATCAAGTTTATTATAGTATTACAGGCAATACATACACCACAAATATATAAATCATTATCTATCGTGCCACAAGGTGTGAACCACGCCTAGATATATCAGTCTGTCAGCCATGACTGAGAAAAAAAGCAATAATTATACTGCAAATCAATTAGTTGTGTTATCAATCATGCATATTAGATAAGACTAAATAACTGCATTAGGATCGCCAATTCATTTGTGATAAGGAAGTTTGTGTGATCGATTATAGAGCAAAACCTACTTGTAGTACGTTTTTTACATATCAAAATGCACATTACAATGATTAATATACCTTTATAAAATCAAACTTGTATCGCTTTC